TACGCTGCCGTGGCAAGTTATTTCGCCGGAGTCATGGTACGTCTGATGCTCACACTCACGCCTGTGGTATGCGTTACTTCCGCTGTCGCGCTTTCCACGCTTCTTGACACCTTCATCGACCCGGTTGAGCCTGAGGGTTTAGATGACAGCCAAAGTGAGGCCGGGTCAGGCGTGTCGAACAACGGCACCACTTCCGGCACATCTACAGCTGTTCCTTCCTCAAAAAAAGCCAAGAAGACCGCTGTCTCCGCTGTCGAGACTGGCAGTACCCTCTCTCAAGTTCTTTCGTCTTCCAAATCCATCAAAGACGGCTCGTCGAAGCGGGGAATTTACGGTCTCGACACGCGTCTGATGATTGTGGTTAACACCATATTTATGCTCGCGTTCTTTGTGTCGCACTGTACCTGGGCTACGTCAACTGCGTATTCGTCTCCTTCTGTTGTCCTGGCGTCCCAGAATCAGGATGGCAGTCAACACATCATCGACGATTTCCGTGAAGCTTATTATTGGCTCCGCCAGAACACGCCTGAGGATGCTGTTGTGATGAGCTGGTGGGATTATGGATACCAGATCGCTGGTATGGCCGATCGTCCTACGCTTGTTGATAATAATACGTGGAACAATAGTATGTCACTCCTCTGTTTTTTATCATTCCTTTAATTTGATCTGCTCCACCAGCCCACATAGCAACTGTAGGAAAGGCTATGTCGAGTTCTGAAGAGGTCGCTTACCCCATCCTGCGGAAACACGACGTCTCGTACGTGCTCATCATCTTCGGCGGTCTCATTGGCTACTCCGGGGACGACATCAACAAGTTCCTGTGGATGATTCGGATTGCACAGGGTGTGTGGCCCGAGGAAGTGCAAGAGGCTTCGTTCTTCACGCCCAACGGCGAATACAAGATTGACGATAATGCTTCGCCCGCGATGAGGAATAGTCTTATGTATAAGATGTCATATTACCGGTACGTATTGCATTTGAATGAAAGGAATACTCATTCACTCCATGTGTGTTTTTCATAGCTTTGCAAACTTGTTTGGAGGTGGCCCGGGTCAGGACCGTGTCCGCGGCCAGCAGGTTCCCACAGTGGGACCCACATTGGATTACTTGGATGAAGCGTTTACGTCGGAGAACTGGATTGTAAGTTTGCGCCTGTCGGGACACGATAATTCACTGATTGCCTCCGTGTTTGATTCCAGGTTCGAATTTACGAAGTGAAAAAAGAGGATCCCTTAGGTAGAGACTTGAAAAGTGCAAACGCATTTGCGGAAGGGAAGAAACGCAAGCGTAGCAAGCCTGTATCGAGGCGCCGTGCCATCTCGTAAAATATGTATTTATAGGGATAGGTAGAAGAAATATCTGTCAGTGATGGAATGAGAAGACTTGTGATCATAGCTTTATTGTTGAGGGAATTTGTCAACGGCTTAATGGTCTAGTAGTATGATTCCTCCTTCGGGGTTCGCCTCGCTTTGATTGCGAAGTATATGGAGGAGGTCCTGGGTTCAATTCCCAGTTAAGCCCAATTTTTATTTTGGGACATTTTTTGTTTTCTAGTCCCTCCGTCCACTTGTATCTTTCATCGTTATTTGCCGCAGCTTCACAGACACCAAATACGGTATGATTAGAAGTCCAAATAATGACATATTCCCCGAACCCCTGAACAGACGAAACGTTCAGCTACTTACGGACCGAACAAACCGAGAAATTCTCCGCACCCACTTCAGGTTCAGCGAAGTTGTGTAATTCCTGGCAGTTTCAATCTCTTTTACTAGAGACATACTTTAAAGTCTAGAAGACGCTAGCATATATAATGAGCGATCTCCTTGAAGGAAAAGGTACGTAAGGAATGCAAAGTGATAAGAATCAATGACGACGTCACCGACAGTTGAGCTTGATCCTACCGTGGACTTTGTGGCTGGAACTGTAGCGGTAGACTTCATATTTCCTGCGAATGTTGTTTCCTGAATTCGACTGACTCGTACAACAGGGTATAAGCGGCCTGGTTGTAGGTTTCCCGTTGGACACTGGTCAGTATCCAATAATAAATTTGATGACATCGCGCTCAATAATTACGGTTGTTTTTTGCAGTCAAAGTTCGCTTTCAAAACCCGCAGACGGCCGTAAAGTATCGTTCGACACTCAATGCGGTTTCTATCATCGTACGTGAAGAGAAATTTTTCGGTTTATACAAGGGTATCACTTCACCATTGGTATTCATCCATCTATCCCATCAGTCATCTTGGAGCTGACTCTTTGGCAGGCGTCGAGTGCCCTCTTGAATGGCCTCGTCTTTGCTTCATACCGCTTTTTCATGAAATTACAATTATATCATAATGAAGCCACACCTACACTCACCCAGATCACCCTTGCAGGCATTGGGACTGGTATTGTATCGTCGTGAGTCTCTGCGTCAAGTTATTGGCAGTAATACCTTCGAGCTAATGGGACCACAAGTTTTTTGACCACACCAATAGAACTGATCAAAATCAGGCAACAGAACTGTCTTGGAAAATCTGCTTCTGTTTATGACACCGCTCTTCAGATTGTTAGAACTTCTGGTTTGCGAGGTCTGTATCGTGGCATCACCTCAACGGCCCTAAGAGACACCGGATACGGGGCATATTTCCTTTCAGTGCGTCGGTTCACTCCTCATGGTAATCATTGCTGATTATTTCCAGTATGAAGCAACATGTCGCGCTCTGGCGCCTTTCGCAGAAGGGTCCATGGAAAGCAAGGCAGAGCCTGCTTGGTGGCCGATGCTTATTGCCGGCGGAATTGCTGGAATCTGTAAGTATAACCCTTTTCGTCACAAATGCAAAAATAAAATTCATACATTGTTGAGTTGGATGGGTGGTGACTTTTCCATTTGATGTTGTCAAGACTCGCATACAGGGAACTGATTACAGCAATATGCGGTTCGCCATTCCCATGATGTGATTTTCTACTCACAGAAACTTCTTTTTATCTAGCCCTCTTGATCTTGGCATGAAAGAGTACAAACCATATCGGAACACTGCCTCCACGATAATCCATTCATACCGGACAGAAGGCATTAACGTGTTCTTTCGGGGTCTCGCCCCCACACTACTTCGGTAAGGAGTTTATTTAAATATAATTCGACCAAACCTGATAGCGTTCTGTCGTTCTTTCTACACTCTAGAGCCATTCCCGTAAACATGGTCACATTTACCACGTTTGAGGCCGTTGTTCATGCACTCGCCTGACCAGAGCCTGGACCTTTGGGTGACTATCGGTCCGCTTCGGACTAGTTTCGATAGTTTCCGACCGTAATCAAGTGGAGTGGCGTCAACGTGGTACGCTGGAGCTAATCACTGTTTCCTGCGTACGACCAGTTCTGGATCAAGGCCAGACTCCCTCTTGCACGATGATAGACAGACAGCTTGTTACTTAGAAGAAATATTTTAAGAAGGTTGGAAGATTTAGAATTAGTTAGTCATGCTAGAAGGAAGATAGATAGATAAAAGCAAGGTCGTATACAATACAACTGTAGTACATGTAAATCGTCTGGGTACTGGTACAATGAATGCATTGTGGTATGCTCAAAAGAGATGCAAAAAAGACCGTCTCGTCCGGCGTAGCTCGAAACCAATTCCTCCACACTCAGCTGTCACGCATTAGCTCATCTCCATCACTATCGTGTTCGAAATCAGAGCCTTCATCCATGAGATAATCTTGGCCGCCCTCTTCCTGCGCCCGGGTATAATACTTCTCTTGTTCCTCCGTCGTCTGCGCCAGATTACCAAGATCGAGCAAGGTTTCCGCCAATAACTTCCGCAACTCCTGAGCATCCTCATCACTGAGCTCCTCAAAGTTTGCGGATCCTTTCGCGCGCTCGAAGAAAGCCAATGCCTTGAGTAGCCCATCCCGAGCCTCACGTGCCTCCGGCGAGTCCACAAGGCTCGCATCGGAAGCTTCCATGAGGCTCTCGAACTCTTCTGCGCGCGCCGATCCCACGACAAGCCAGCAACGTCCTCTGGCGCGGTTGATCGGACCCCGCCACGCGTCCATATCCGCTTCCATCTTCATTTGATTAAATATACTGTCCGCCCATGTGGCCCAGAAGCGGCGCTCCGTAGGCGACGCGAGCTTTTCCGCGACTGACAGAACCTCAGATGCGATCTGGAAGAGCTCTTTTGCGCGCGAGAATGTCTCTGCGCCAATTGGCAGGGTCTGCGCCTGGTGAGCATGGTGTGGCATCCGGAATATACCACGTGAGAATTGATCCATGGCCAGTACCATGAGCTCATTTGGGGTTGCAGAAGAGAGAGTCATACGGCGAGTGAAGGGCGGGCGCCGCCTGACGATCATGGAGAAAGGGGACTCGGGAGGCCACTCTGGATCCTCTGCAAAAAGCTGTGAGACGGACGCCTCGCTTGTGGCGCTCTGTCCTTCCTTCTGGGTTGCTGCTTCACAAGTCACCATTTGCTCGGCCAGAGCAACGAGGGTGCGTCCCCAAATGACAGCCAATTGCCAGTCGTCGGGGATTTCAGCACCGCGTCCACTGGTGCGAACAGGTAGATTGTCACCCGTCTCGAATACATCGAGAGCAGAGAGCCAGTAGGGAAGAGGCGTGTTAGGTTCACCTGGAGCAGCTTGTTCTGGATCTTGGTCAATGATATTGCCGAACATAAAGAGCACGGTGCCTAAAATGACGTGGAAGGCAGTAGGTAGCTCGACATTTTTGCTATGAGTTTTTTTATCGATTGGTAATTTGGAACCAGACGATAGAGAGCCTACCGTTTGGAGTGTTTTGTCGACACAGGGCTCAATAGAACGCTCGAGATTGCCTCATCTGGTGAAGATACTGCATCGGATAAGCGGAACTGCGATGGAGAGCTTATAAGGAACCCAGAAGGATCCGGGTATGCCACCATGAACCTATGACACTCGTGAATGACACCTCGGATGATGGGGAGCGCTTCTGCAGCGCCGGCGTCTACACAATCTGCCATTTAGCCAACACCCGACGTGGTTTGCTCTAATGCACACACTTTCAAACTGATCGTTCGCTTGAATGAAAAGTTCTTTTAAATCCTCCCAGTCCTCATAAGTCCAGGAGGGGTTTTCAGGCGAAATGCCTGATCCGGCTATGGAAGAAACGTCCATTGCTTTTTGTGCAGTTTCCCAATTGCTGATGGGGCTTGGGTCGGGGCTGCAACCACGGGAATAGTTCCAATAGTAGGTTTTATGAATGTCACCCAGGTCGAGGGAAGGGGAGCGGCGGGATGCTTGAGAGGAGGACGACGAAGGAAGAGAGGCGTCGTCGTCGCCGTTGTCGGACTCGAAGTCTTCGCCGGACGGTTTCCTTTCGTGGCCATATCCCGCCGGGAGCCGGGGTGGCATCACGCGAGCCTTCCACAAGCCTTTTGGTCGTTCTCGTTTTCGAGGCGCCGGCGCTGGCATCATTCTGTGGTTATGATTGTTGTAAGAGATAGGGAAGGGCATTGATTCGTTCGTTGTCTTTCTCATAGGGCTGCGTTCGCATATTTATCCCAGCGATGGTCTATTCTGGGCCCTGTCGTGTTCTGGACCCGGCAGTTCTAATCTTTCTGAGATCAACAACGGTCTAGACCAATCTCGATTGATTTCTGCAGCTTTCTCCTCATCTTCGATAGGACCCCGGATTCCATCCCATTCCAAAATCCGGACATTATGTCCAAATCAAGGGCCGTTTCGGAAATTCTGGACTGACACGATACTTCCCGAAAATCCTGATCTCCAAGGACATATGTAATATGACAATGATTTCTACTAGTCATGCAATATTGAAAGGCCATTGGGTACAATTCTTTGATTATGATCTGGTGGCCTGCCAGATTTCCGAGTATAATCCGGAGTCCTGCACAATCCCGCCGGCTACCAGCCCCTTCGCCGTCCCCCCTTGCCCCACTTCTCGATCAAAAAGTCTGTCATGAACTGGTACACCTCCCTGTTTGCGCCGCGACGTGAGATTGTATGATCACTGTTGAGGTAACCCGAATAGTGGCGGATGCCGGTCAGCAAACCAGCCAATCAGCAAGCAGGTGACAACATTGAACCCACCTATCAGTGAACATCCTAAATCTGAAATTCCGGACCTGGGCCTCGGTGAACATATCGAGCAAGTGGGCTGAGTTGGCGTAATGCACGTTATCATCACCGCTTCCATGTGCCAATAGAAACTCGACGTTATGGAAGCCAGTCACATTTGAGACGGACGCATTGATGTAACCTCCTGGATTCAGCTGAGGCAGGTTCATGTAGCGCTCTGTATATATGGAATCTAGAATCTTTCTGGTCAGTTGACGTGGGAGATGCCGGCTGGCATCCATGTGCTCACCATACAAACGCCAGCTGGTTACCGGCTATGTAAGATCGGCAACAAAACAAGTGAGTCCGATACGGGAGGGATACGGCCGAAACAAGTTACGTACAGCAATCGCCATTGATAGAGAGTGCACACCTGCATTAGCTTCCACAACCTTGGAAGCCATGAAACCACCATATGACTGTATTTGATT